TATTCAAAACTTCCTATCTTCGTTCTAATCATTTTACATTTAGTCGAAGAAAAGAAAAAATTTCGTACATTCAACGATCGAAAATTTTTTCCAATTAACAATTTGATATATTTAAATATATATATATATATATATATTTCTTTTTTTCTAGATTTATTTCAAATTTATCATACAAACTTATTTTCTCTAATAATTTTTAATATGAAAAAAAATAATAGAAATAAATCAAAGTGTTACCCGACAAAAAATATATATATATATATATATATATATACCGACTTTAAGGGAGAATTATAGGATACTTGGAAAGAAAAATTTTTAAAAAGAAAGTTTTGTTCTACCTCTAACCCCGTAAAATAGAATATGTGCTTAACGATATCCAAAGAGTATCTCGTTACCGACCTTTCCTGTTGGCATTTTCTTACTCCTCGAGAGATGCGAGTGACACGAACGCGATGATAGTTTGAAGGAGCGACGAGACAATGCGACCGCAGGGACCGCTTTCGACGTTGATGCTTCTCGTTCTACCTTTTGTACTTACGTAGAAGCTGTTCAAAAGCATTACCTTGGCCGATGATCATCCGATGAATGATGCGTGAACACGAGCGCTTCTTGCTCTTATCATTTTCCAGAAAATTATTGCGATATAGTAAGTGTCAAATAATGTTCATCATATTTTTGATCAAGATATTTCTCTTAGCTCAAGCTTATACTTTTTTTTATATTTATTTATATATATTTTATTTATATTTTTATATATTTATTATATATATTTTTTTTTTCTTTCTTTCTTTCTTTCTTTCTTTCTTTCTTTCTTTTTTTTTCCTTCCTTTCGTTCGATTCGAAAGTACAAAATTAAATATATCGGCCATTGTATGCACAATAATTTCAGATCACAATATTAACAATAATTAATTTAATAATTTTACATTAGATATCAATTAAATATCGTACGAACTAATAATATTGCCATTTATATATAGTAATGATGATGTTTTTAATTTATAAACAATGGCTGCATATTTGCTCGCAACTATGTTTACGTGTATATTTGTATGTATTAATGTTAATGTTAATGTTTCAGTAAAAAATTAAAATAGTAAGAATGGATTTAGTGCATATTGTATATTTATACGAGTTTGTGAAAGAGAGTGCAAATATAAAATAATACGGATTAAAACAATAGAATAAATGAGAGGAATGAACAAAGAAATGCAGAAAGAAATGCCATTGCAATTATGCGGATGAAAATCAATAAATGTGTGACAAAAGGCAATGAAAATATTTATGGAAGAATAGGAAACGTAAGAGAGCTCGATTTTTCAAGTTTATTCGAAAATTAAAAATAATTGTATACAAACAAATAAATGGTAGAAAAGGATAAAAAAATACATATATATATATTTTTTTTTCTATGTGAGAAGATAAAGTAAATTTATAAATAAATTTATAACTCACGTATACTCTCATCCACACACACACACACACACACACATATATATATATATTTTTGTACGAAGAAGAGAAAATGTATCTTACTTTGATAGAAATAGTGGAAATAGGGAAAATGTTATTTACTCGAAGACGAACTGACTTCGAGCTTAGAGGTAGAAAATCCAACGAACTCTGTCGTTAAGAACGATTTATCCCAACGGGAAAGTTTTGGATGAACATCGTGAAATTAAATGGCGAAAGGGAAATCTCGTGAAAGACAAGTTCCGTTTCCAACACGTCGACTACTGAAATGCGAAACCAATGCGACGACGACAACTAACCGGGAACTCTTGATAAACGTACACCGAGAGTCATTGAATGTATATATCGTGTGAGTCAAATGTTAGAGAAAAATGCTAAAGAAAAAGAGAAAGAAAAAGAAAAAAGAAAAATAGAAAATATTTCTCTGTTCGTTTATGTGAAAGATAGAAAAAAAAGAGAAATCGAGTTAAAAGTTTCGTTTCGGATCTATACAGTTGAGTAATATATATATATATATATATATATATATATATATATATATATATATATATATTTACAGGAAGTAACTATGGCAGCATCGAACGTTAATTCTAGTTTTAAATTCATTATGAACAACATGGTTTCCATCCTTCCTTTCTCTTTTTCTCTCTTTCTCTCATCATACGTGAACACGCAAATATTACTCGTCCATTACACACTTTATCTAACGTTCTAAGTTACAACTTTGATAACGAGTTCGAAGACGATATATATATATATATATATATATATACATAGGTATGGTGAACTATATACATATACACACACATATATACATATTCATACACACACGCAAAATACATATATATATATATATATACATATATATGTACGTATGTTTGTGCATATGTTTATATCTGCATATGTGTGTGTGTGTGTATACATGAGTTATAAATTTACTTATAAATTTACTTTATCTTCACCCATAGATATAACTAATAATCTTTTTAACAAAAATATTAAACAAGATATATATATATATATATATATATATATATATATATGTCTTCATAAATACTTCACCGTTCTCTCATTTATTATTATTATCTTAGTTAGATAACATGAACATTCGTAAAAATATATCTTTTCATTTGTTATAATAATATTAAAATATATGTGAGATAAAATATATACGATTTATTGGGAAATTGATCGGATCGTGGAAATAAATCTAATCGTCATCTATCGAAAATTTACCATCCTTTCCAGGTTTATCAGTAAGGTTGAAACGAAGACTTTCGTAATTACCAAAGATAACTTCATTGTCAGGATCCATTGGGATAACCTCCTCGTCGTCGTGCTTGATTGCTATCTCAATGTCCGGGTCAATTTTTCGATAGAAAAAATACGGTATGTTCTCCTCAGCACGTGCCATCTCTTTCAAAAACTCTTCCGTGCCGATTCGTTTCGTAAGAGCCTGTGTTTTTATTTTTCTTTCATTTATACAAGGACATAAGCAAACGAGAGATAAGATCCATCGATCGATCCAAGAACGCGAAATAGTTCATCTCATAGAGAGAGAGAGAGAGAGAGAGAGAGAGAGAGAGAGAGAGAGAGAGACAGACAGCAAAGAAAGAAAGAGAGAGAGGAAGAGAGAGGGAGAAAGAGAAAAGAGAAAATTAAAATATATATAATAATAATCACCGAAGAAATTTATTCTTCATAAAAGTATTAATCTTCTTCCTTTTTCTTTCTTTTTTCTCTTTCTTTTTCTTTTTTTTCTTTTTTTTTTTCCTCCCCCATCCTCCCTTTCTCTTTTCCCTATTTCATTGACGAATTGTTGTATCAAAATAAATGTTAACGACGAAAAGTTGCAACGATATTTCTTTCTATTCGCATTTTGCTACATCGTAAATAAATAACTTGAAATTATACGTGCGAAATATTTTTTCAATCGAATATTATCGACTTCAGCTATTTTATAATCGTTTACTGTTACAAAGACAAAAAAAAGAAAAAGAAATTCATGATAAAGAGGGTAAAATAAGAAAATGAAAAATCCAAATTGACGTGTCCATCGATTGCAAGACAAAAATATTTCCTTTTGAAAGGAAGATCGACAGAAAGATCTCTTTCTAAATAAAAAAAAAAAAAAAAAAGAAAGAAAGGAAAAAAAAACAATAAGAAAAAAAGAAAAGATGATGAAATATACATGGTGAGATATACGTGTATACATACTTGCTCTTTTTTTGTTTGTTTGTTTGTTTGTTTGTTTGTTCGTTTGTTTTTTTTTTCACATGATTCAACAACGTACCATCATTTGAGAAGGTTTTATAGGAGGTGAAAAACACGAGTTCCGTTTAGCTCTACCCTTCGAATTGTTCAAACACCGTTTTAAACTTGCCTCCGGGTTTTCATCCTTCAAGATACCACGTAATTTTGCCGTAGACATGATCGTTCTACCTACGATCTCTTTGATCGCCTGAAAAAACAATCGTTTTCAAATATCTACCATCAGGTATGTAACGTTTGACGTATACGTAGTGTCAACAAAAAAAAAGGGATTCGTTCGAAAAAAAAAAAAAAATATTTGGTCGAAACATTTTTTCGTGCGAATACATTTGCACAAAAATTTTTTCAACTTCGCTTAAAATAAGTATTATATATTACTATACTGTATTATCAACTCTTTTCTGTCCTTTTTTCTTATCTTTTTTCTCCTTTTTTCTTTTTTTCTTTTTTTTTTTTTAATATCTCGTATATGTATGCACATATATATATATGTATGCACATATATATATATATATATATATATATATATATATATATATATATATATATAGTAAATGTATGCAATTATGTTTGCCTATTTTGTTTACACAAACACGCAAATACGCAAACACACAAACGTTCAATAATTTTCTCTTCCTTTTTAGACTGTTTTATACTATTTTAAATATTTGTGTCATTGTCTATTTACAAGTAATATATAAATATAAATATAAATACATACATATATATATATTTTTTTTTTTTTAATTCTGAAACCTTTTCTTATTTTAACACCTCATATATATATATATATATATATATATATATATATATGTATATAGTAAATATATGTAGTTCTGCTTTGCATTTTGTCAAAAAAAAAAAAAAAAAAAAAAAAACAAACCAGCCAATTATTTTCTCTTTCCTATTCGTCTTTTCTTCCAGTCTCCCCGCCCCTTCCCAACCTCTCTTCACCCTTTTTTCTCTATCTCTATCTATATCTCTATATCTGTCTTTATTTCACCCTATCTATCTCTGCCTTTTTCCATGTCCAATCCGAATGGAAGCCCATCGAAACGGATAAAATCCTTGAAGCGAAAAACGCATTCAAAGGACCGATTCTATTATATATCGTTCGGGTATTTGCATTTTCTACAATTTATTTGTTTCTACAAATAGAATTGGTTCGCCAGCGAAAGGACGATCTCTGCTTTTATAGTAAATTTCCATTGTATGCCCGTAAAATTCGGTATATGCGAAATAAGTATACTTATTATTAGTGGACGGATGTGTTTTTTTTTTTTTTTTCTACAGAAAGACCATGTCGCTTTAACTTACGACGAATCAAAACACAACTTTCATATATTTTGTATTTTTTATACGAATAAAACTGTCGTATATCTCCGTCGTATATCTTTTCATTTCTTATTGTTTCATTCTTTATTTTTTCTTTTTTTTTCATCCCTTTGTTTATTTTGAAAATCATTCGTACATCGAACTTATCGACGATCACTCGTTACACATACTCATACGTACATAGATATATTTGTACATAAATAAGTACATGATAATGGATTATGCATTTATTTATTTAATTATTTTCTTTCATTTGTATTTGTTTTTCCTTTTTTTAAATCAAGAAAAAGAAAATGGAACAAGAGGAAATGAATATCGTAGAAATAAATTTCTTACCTGTTCGCCAATTTCCATCCAATATTTGAAATAGGATCGATAGATCGTAGCTTGGATGGTAAAATTTCTAATCATTTCTTGCATCTCCTCGACTGTTTTTGGTATTTCTAATTTCTACGAATAAAAATGAGAAAGAGAGAGAGAGAGAGAGAGAGAGAGAGAGAGAGAGAGAGAGAGAGAAAGAATGAAGCATAGATCGACGGACAAACAAATAAAAAGATATACAATCGACACCATAGAAGATGGACGAAAAAGATAAAAAAAAAAAATAAATAAATAAATAAATCTTTCATCGTTCCATTGTGAATAATATAGTGATCATTCGGAAAAATATGATACGGAACGAATTATAAGGAATATCGTATCGGTTCTTATTACTCTAATCTCTATCTCTAATCTCATTTATCATTATTCCATATCAAAACGAAGAAAAAGAAGAAGAAGAAGAAGAAGAAGAAGGAGAAGAAGATATCCATTTTCTATCGGTGAAGCCGTTTTTATATTAACGAGCTATGAATTAAACGTGGATACGAAATGTAAGGTATTGCGGATAGTGGTTACTTCGATAATATCCGTAGGATCCTTTTCTTTCTGAATTCCAAAGGGTTCCCATTGTATTCCCAAGGGCCACTCTTTCAGATACTCGGACGTATCATCATCGACTATCTCATCCTTATCCTTCTTTTCGACGATTTCATCGTTTTCTTTTTTCTCTTCCTTTTCCTCCTCCTTTTCCTCTTCCTTTTCCTCCTCCTTTTCCTCCTCCTTTTCCTCAATCTCCTCCACCCTCTCTTCCTCCATTTCCGAGATAACAGCAGTACTAATGTATGAAGAAGCACGCTTTATATCCTTCGTTCAGATTAAAAGTCCGATCATCGTCATCGGTCATACCCATAAATAATCTTTTTCGTTCTTAGATATATCACAGTTGTTTTCATTGGAAAAAAAAAAAAAAAATCATCCCCCTATCCGTTTGTCTATCGATCATAAATGTCAATCTCTTTTAAACAATTTCTCCCCTCTTATTTTATATCAATCCTTATCCTTCCTTCTTTTCGAACTAGATAAATCTTATGGTTGATTAACGACAACTCGATTAATTAATATACATCACTATGAGAATCTGATTCTTCGTTAATATTTTATATATTTAATTGTAATCACAATCAAAATAATAAAGATTATTGATCATCTACGAGAGTTATGTAAAAATGTCTTACGTGTTTCTATTTTACACGCTTATGTTAAAATGAGAATCAATGAATCTTTTTCTCTTTTTTTTTCTTTTTTTTTTTTTTTCCCCCATTGCACGCAACAAGTTAGAATTTTCTGTAAACATAAAGAAAAAAAAAAAAAAAAGAAAAGAATAGAAATATTCGTATCTTTCCCCATTAAGAAGAGTTCGTTCGTCTAACTAAAAAAGTAAATACGCATAGTGAAACGTTACTTCCAATATATTTATTTAAAATAAACGAATCAATTTTCTTCCAATTCGTGCAACAAGTAAGATTTCGTTGCTAACCAAAAGAAGAAAAAAAAAAAAAAAAGAAAAACCATAAGAAGAAAGAAAGAAAAGAAATATTTGTTTCTTTCCCCGTTAGAGCAATTTTTACGTCCAATCAAAAAGTAAATACGCATCGTAGATGTGTTTCTTTCAACACACTTATCTGAAATAATTGAATCAAATTTTTTTTTCCATTCTGAGCAACAAGTAAGATCTCGTTGCTGAACAAAAGAACATTTGTTTGTTTCTTTCTCCTCTTTGGTGGTGTTTCTCCGTATAATAAAAAAAAAAAAAAAAAAAAAAAAATGAAAAAAAAAATTGAAAAATAAGAAAGTAAAAAGGAAAAGTAAAAAACGCAAAAGAAAAATATATTAAATGATATCGAGTTATACTTTAGATCAAATTTATTCGTATCACGATCCTACTCACGAATCTTCTTCGTTGGTAGTCTCCTCCGGTTGGTCTGCACCTCCACCCATACGTTCTTTCCCCTCCTCATCCTCCTCCACCTCCTTCTCCTCCCCCTCCTCCTTCTCCTCCTCTTCCTCCTTCTCCTCCTCCTCCTCCTTCTTCTCCTCCTCCTCCTTCTCCTCCTTCTCCTCCTCCTTTTCCTCCTCCTTCTCCTCCTCCTCAGTTTCGTTCACTATCTTCTCATTCACCATTTCTTCTTTTTCCTCGTCCTCCTCCGCGATTTTCTCGAGTGCACGTTCTTCTCCTTCATCTTTCTCCTCGACTGACTTTTCCTTACCGCTTACGATGTCTGCGAGCACTTGTTCAACTGGCATGACAAATTTTTGATAAAACATTGATGCTGTTAGGATGAATCATACTTTCAAATCCAAAATCGAATTTATGCCTTTTACGACGGTACGATACTTAATATACGATCGTGACTGATGGATAGAGGCAAGACATCGTATAAAAGAAAAAAAATAAAAAAAAATAAAAAAATAAAAAAGATCTAAATAAAAAGAAAAGAAAAGAAAAGAAAAAAAGAAATAGCTAAAATTATACAGTTTCAATTAAAAATTATATCCATATTGTATTTTGAAAACGTCTAATAAAAATTTTTCATTTTCTCTCGTAACTTTATTACTTTTATAATATTAAAGAAAAAACTATTTAATTAAATAAGTAAATAGATAAATAAATAATTATATATATATATATATATATATATATATATATATATATACAGATATTTAATATTTTGTATGACAAAATATATCCTTGAAAAATAATTAAATATAAGAAAAAAAAAGAAAAAAAAAGAAAAATGTAGTAATCAGAAAGGATCTCTTTTTTACCACCTTTGCCTATCTCTTTTTTTCTATATCAATGAAAAACTTTTGGAGATTACGATCGAGTGACATAAAGTAGCCCCTGTGAATCGAATTAAATCGCTTGAATAATAGGAGCGTTTTATTTTCAAGAAAGATTGTTCAACGTGAAAATCGCCAGAGGATTTGCCAGCTTAATTAATAGAAAATTAAAGGGAGAAAGATGAGACGTACTTCAAGGATAAAAGTCGAAGGGATGAACAGAATATCGAGATCGTTCGAGGTAATCAAATGATTCATGGCTTTTCAATTAATTGGGATCGACGATTCTCTGTTTTTTTTTTCTTCCTTCTTCTTTTCTTTTCTTATTTTTTTCCTTAATAAGGGAAAATCAATCGTAGTGCTTGATTTTCTTTTTTTTTTTCACTACAAATATTCGCATTTTGAAAATCGTACGAAAAATAATTAGACTCTTGATATAATGGGCAGGATAAAATCGAATGGAATATTAAATATAATGGTTAAGAGGTTGGGAGTAGGGAGAGTAAAAAATGGGTCAAGTAGAAATAATTATTTACGAATGGTTGGATTATTAATTTTTGGAATGCATAGTAAAATAAAATGCAGTACCTACACTTTTTTAATTTTTTTAACGATCTGAGTAAATAATCATCCTATATTGTTGTAAATAGGATCGTTTTTCTCTCTCTCTCTCTCTCTCTCTCTCTCTCTCTCTCTCTCTCTCTCTTCTATTATCTCGAATAAAGCATTTTCAATTTTTATATCACGATAATAATACTGCAATATTTTAATCTTAGCTATTTAATTATATCTAATAATAAACCGAGACGTCTTATATCATTTTTTTACAAATGGATTGTACATAGTATTTGTAAATAAATTAATAAAATATATATATATATATAAAGAATATAGAAGAGATTATTGCAAGCATTGTATTAAAAGAGATAGACAGAAAAATGCAGAAATAGAGTGAGAGAGAAATAGAGAGAGAGAGAGAGAGAGAGAGAGAGAGAATGCTTGCTTTATAATCGAAAAATTTACTTCTGCTAACAATTTCGTCGAGGATTCGTACAACCACCTCCTTTACTTCGTAATAACATCTTATCTACTGTTTCACATAAATCTTGAGAACTTCATTAAGAAAAACAGAGGGAGTTAAAGGATAAGAAAAAAAAAAAAATAAATGAAAAAAATATTCACCCCATTCAACCACCTATACTCTCTCTCTTTCTCTCTCTCTCTCTCTCTCTCTCTCTCTCTCTCTCTCTTTTTCTTTCTCTCGTGTCTTAATCGTGTATCTTAATCAAATGTAACATTTTTCAAAATAATATCTAAAATATCTACAAACGTTTGCTCTCTAAACGATATAAAACGAGATAAAAGTTAAAAAATAAATAGACATATACATATGTATATATATATATATATTTTTTTTTTTTTCAACAAGAAATTTGCTAATTATTGAAGATTATTATACATTAATTTCAATAAGAATGAAAAGTGCGAGATAAAAGATAAAACTACAAAATAGAAAATATTTTAAAGTTTATTGGATTAGATTAATAAATTGGATGATGTAAATATTGCGTTTCGTTGAAAAATTATAAAGCGTATCTCTCGTTTCAAAGTTTAAGAGAGAGAAAGAAGAGAGAAAGAGAGAGAGAGAGAGAGAGAGAGAGAGAGAGAGAAAAGGAAAAAGAAAGAAGGAAAGAAAGAAAGAGAAGGAAAGAGAAAACTCTTGAAACTCTTCAAGAAGATTTCCCAGCCTTTTCGCGAAATATATCTATATTAGCAAGTGAATCAAACGATATGAAAAGGAGAGTTCTGTCGTCTCCCGAGCGAGACATAAATATTGATTAGTTGTTTGTAAAAGGAAGGCAGAATGATAAACGCTTATAACTTGGTACTCGCTATAAATCAGACGTTTCCGCTTAAATCATACGATCTCTTTCTATCTCTATCTATCTATCTCTCTTTCTCTTTTTCTTTTCTTTCCTTTTCCTTTTTCTTTTTCTTTTTCTAAAGGAAAAATACTTTCTACGAATATTAATATGCCAAAAGACGCGAAAAACGATACACATATATATATATACATTTATTTATTTATTTATTTATTATATATATATATATATATATATATATATATATATATATAAATTAATATGCGAATGAATAGATCATTCGTTCTCAAGTTACATCTGCTAACTCAATTATCATACTCAAGTGTGTACTTGGTAAAAATCGTAAATACTTTACCACTGATAAATAGAATGAATGAGCGAGAGAGAGAGAGAGAGAGAGAGAGTGAGTGAGAGAGAATGAAAACGAGAGAGAAAGAGATAAAAGAAAAACAGATAAGAGAAAAAGAAATAGGAAGAAGCAGATCGTCGCCGTATCTTCCAAGTTAATCGAATAAAATCTACGTTTATCACCGAAGCGAATGCGTTTCTTACTGTCGTAAAAATCCTCAACTCCTTCCGGATACTCGATTCCGTCGTCGGCAATGGCGTCCTCCTCGTATGCGAAAATCCTTCGTATTTCTTCGATCATCTATGAATATCGATCAGATTAAAACATAGACTGTGTGTGTGTGTTTTTTTTTCTTTTTTCTTTTTTTTTTTCCCCCATTAACAAAGTCATAAATATAATATATATTTATAATATAACGAGAAATGATTACAATTAATTAATAAAAATTTTTAATCAAATCTTCGTCATCTATTTCTCTTTAATTATTTTTCAACCATTTTGTTATATAATTTATATGATTTATATTATATGCTCTGTTTAAATGCAATCTATGTCCCTTATGTAATATTATGTATTAATTTCTACTGTGATTTTGTTGAATCGTCTCGTTTAAAAATTAATAATCATATTTTATTACGACGATATAATAATCTTTATTCGAAACACGTCCGTACCTCTCCGTAGTCGGCTAGAAACTAAATTGTTTATATCGTATGTAAGACGTACGTAGATATCTCGTCACTTTCCAGGAATTGTTGTTATTCATAAGACCTTCATTGAGGACATATATATATACATATATACGTACTTAACTATTCGTATATCTTATGTATGTTTCGATTCGCGTAGGACAAAATGTTTATTATTGTACGTTGTATCTTGTATGTTTATTACTCGACTTTAACGATAATACGTATCATTTCTACGAATTGGAATGATCTAATCTCTAATCTCTTTAATCTTTTCATTAAAATTTGATTAAAAATTTTTCTCTCTCTCTTTTTTTGTTTCCTTTATACAAACACAAACGAATTATATGTATTTTACTTAAGAAGCAAAAATTTTGATTAGATTAATTTGTTCTTCTATTATAATAATAAAGAAACAGTGATAGAGAAGAAAAAAGAAACGATTTACCTCGGGTTGCAATTTCTTTAGTTCCGAAATATATTCCTCTTCGATTTCTCTCAAACGTGATGCCATTCGTATAAAAAGGTTTATGTGTGAGCACAACCATTTTTGCCATAGCTCAGCTTCGTCGCTTATCTGAGACAACCAAATAGACCAAACTCGAAGTTTCTCCGATGGGGCAGCGTATATACGGAGCATCGACTCTATGATTTTTCTAGTCGCATATCGAAGCAAATATATATATATATATATATATGTATACATATATGTATATAAATACACACATATGCATATATCTACCAGTAGATATAAGATAAATAATACGGATTGCTGGTACTCGTACAGTTATTGGCATTTTGAATTATTTTTCTGTGTAATAACAAAAGTTCTGCAATAAAACTATGAGAGGCAATAAAACTAGAAATATAAGTTTGAAAATACATGGAATTTACACACACACACACACACACACACATATATGTATATATATATATAAAATTTTCTATCATGAAGGAAGATTTTGAATAAATAAATAACATGATCGGTTATAGTTAAACGTCAAAGATAACTGTTAGAAAATATTATAT